CTGGAACTGAACAAGACCCTCCAAGTTTGCAGGAGTCAACACACCACTGGCTGGGTAGCAAGGGATCCGGTCCATGTACTCAAATATTTTCTCTGAGGAGCCCACAGCCTTCAGCACACTGGGGTAGGTGGAGAGCAGTACCTGGAAGGGAGTCATGAATAGTGAGTGGCAGAGGCACCTAATCTACTTGCCAGGGGTTATGTGATACAAGAAAGGTAAAGAATGGAAGGAGAGTGACACGGATGGTGATGGAAGAAGAGAAGGAGGAGCACCAGGGAGTGAAACTGGAAGTAACTCACCTCAACGGCTGTGGTGAACTGCATCTGGTAGAGGACAAATGTGACAAGGTTCCCACTGCTCACAACCCCACTTGTCACCAGCTGCCCGCCAATATAGAGGATTACCACCTTCAGCAGCATCCCTGAGATCTGTGGAGAAACCACAGAGAAAAGGGATTGTGGTAGAAATCTAATGAAGAAAGAACCAGAATCCTTAGCATTAAGGAGATATAAAGTTCCTTTCCCCCCAGTGATGGCAGGAGGCTCAACTAGAAGGAAAGAATGAACCACAGGGACCCATGGAGTCTTATTCAATTACACATGGTAGAAGTCATCGTTATCACCACCACCATAACTATTATCGCCTTGTTTGGGGAGCATTTTGCTCTTCAAAAAAGGCTTCCATGAATAATCTAACATTTGTATCAAGAGCTCTATAAACAAGGTTAAGTGTATACCATTTTTTAAAGTGACGAAACAGTCTCGGAGAAGATAAGTTACAAGGCCATGGTCACAGAGTTAGTGAATGCAGCACCAAGCCGGGAACTTGTGAATGCTGGTCTAGTTCTTTTTTGAGGACATCACAGATGCCACCCCATGCTTGGCTCTGCTACTTCCATGGCTCTCACTAGCACATCCACACAGTCCCAGCATGAGGCAGGCCCAGATGTAGGAATTTGTGGCTTATTGAACAACCCCTGAGAAACAAGGGGAGGTCCTAGCACTGGAAGACATGGCATCTTCCTAAAAGGGGGTTGGGTAGTTTTGTCTATCACAATGAGAGGAAGCCTTCTAGCCTAAAAAGGGAGTGTGGGTCAGGAACACTGAGTAGGGTGACTGAGCCTCAGATTGCTGGGATGAGAACACTGAACCAACCATTGCCCAGGGGAAGAGGAGTGTGGAGCAGGGTCACAGAAAAGGGAATGGACCCAAGGCACCCTGGGGACAAGGGAAAGGGCATTCATCTCCAGGTGCTCACACTGGTAGTCCAGAGGTTAACTGCATAGGCCAGGGCCTCTTTCTGGTTGAGTGCCTTCATTTCCTGCTGTTTTTGCCTGAACTTCTGGGCCTCACCCTCCTCGTTGGCAAAGCTCCGGACTGTAGGCATAGCTGACAAAACTTCAATGGCCACCTGGCTGGACTTTGCCAGAGATTCCTGCACCTGTGCTGCCAGTACCTGTGGAGACATAGACAAGAGATGCCACACAGGATTGGCAAACCACAAAGAAACTAGTATCTGGGTTACCTGGTTAAAGGTTAAAGGTGAGAAGAGGCAGAGGGGCAGGAGAGAAGTAAAAGAGACACAGATCTACCCCTTGGATAAAAAAGGGATCCAGAAGAGAAGAAAATGACTCGGGAGGTTGATGGCAGGGGTGGTGGGGGCAGTGGTGGGAATCATATTCTTGAGATTAGCTTAGCAATCATGTTCTTAAAGACTAGTTGTGGGCAGAAGTTAGAAGACACTGAGAATATGAAGAGCAACACTCCCACTGAGTGTGGGGACACAGACTACAGAGACAAGGAGTCCATGAATGGAGAATCACTGAGGTGCCAGGAAAGAAATCTGAGAGAAACTGAGTGGGAGATGAGAGTCTGTGTAGGTTGAGGCAATTCCCTGGACATACCTGGTACCACTTCCCCAGCTTCTTAGGCAGGAGGAAAAGCAGAGGCAAGGCAACTAGGGTGACGACGGTGAGGGACAGTGATCCCCAGAGCATGAGCCCCAAGAGACACAGCCCCCGCACCAGGTACCACAGCAACAGGCTCAGCTTCTCACTCAGAGACTCGCTCAGGGTGGACGTATCCTCTGTTATCCGAGATGTGATGGCTCCTGCCAGGGGTGAGTGGAGTGACTGAGGGTCTCAGAGGAATGAGAGGGACTGGCAGTGAGCCAGGATGCCAGGGGGAGGGGTGTCAACATGGATTTCTAAGGGGGATGGGGAAAAGAAAGTCAGGGATATAGGGAAGTTCTGAGATTTCAATACAGGGAGAGTGTGTTAGAGCGGGAAAGTCTAGCTAAAAGCCTTCATTTAACTATACAGAAACTGACACCCATGTAAATTCCCACTTCTAGGAAGATTTGTGTTCCTTGAACTTGTGCATCCCCCTCTGCACACATAGGCTGGGATAGCTTAAGTTGATCATGTGACAGAGCTGGAGAAAAAGGAGGGTCCTGCTGGACAGCAGTCCAGGACCTGTGATACTGATGACTTCTACCGAATAAGACTCCATGGGCCTCTATGGTTCATTCCTCCTTTCTACTTATTGAGCCTCCAGCTGTATGTAGGCAGAAAGAGACTTTTTATTTCTGTAATGCTAAGAATTCTGGTTCTCTGCACCCCTGTTAGATTTCTACCAAGCACTGAATTCGAAATTGAAAAATGGGTTTGGTCCCCAAGTTCATCTCTAACCATACGTGACCATGCACATTTCAGCATTTAGAGTCTAGGCCTCAGTTTCCTTTTCTGTAAAATGAGGAACTTGGGCTCTGTGATCTCAAAATTTCCAGGGTTGCCAATTCTTCTAAATACACATATAGTGGTAAATTTATGTAAAAGTCTTGGGTGGAAACCCAGTTTTTTTCTGAAGGCAAAGAGTGCAATGTTGTGCCCTGGAGGTACACCAGGAATAAGAAATGACAATGTCTATGTGTGAGAGGGAGATCAAGGCTGTAAGTAAAAGGGGACCCATGGGGATATAACTAATATGCAGATGTATAAAAAAGGAGTTCCAGAAGAAACCTGTTTGGTTCTGTTGGAAAAACTCTGTTTCCTGGCGGAGGACGGCACCGAACACCTCGCCCTGCAAGCGGCTGTGCACGTGGCCCATGGTGCTGTTGTAGATCCCATCACCCACGAACTCCAGCACTGCACTAGAGAGAGACAGAGACAGAAGGTGGAGGGTCAGGGCGTGTTCGAGGAGCAGGGGGAAGGTTCCCACAGAAGTACACTTCGGAGGGCACTTTTTCAGAGTCCCCCATTTTCAGCCTTCCCCCGCGGGCCGCAGACCTGGCTATGGTGAGAATGGACATGAGAATTATGTTTCGAGTGAAGGCAGCGGCTGTCTTATCTTGTAGAATCCAGTCAGTGAGGCGGCCGGTGAAGAATGGAATGGCCATCTCGCCTGGGGAGGGAGAGGAGAGACGTGTCAGTCACAAACATCAAGTCTCAGCAGGTCAGCCAGGATCAGTCTGGCCCAGCGCAGCCCTCTTCCACCCTTCACCCACGTCCGGGAGGGCGGCGCAGGAACAACGCAGAGAGCAGGACCTTGCGCCTGAACAGGCCTCCCTGGAACTCGCAGTCCTGGGGCCCCGTCAGACCCTTACGAGTTGAATTAGGAAGCCTAGAGGTCATGGAGCAAGATGCACGTGTATGAAAGACGCTGCCCGAGAGGAAAGGCCCTGCCCCGGGCGGTCAAATGAAGCAGTGTCTGGAGTCCTGACTCCTGACTCCCGCCCGGTCCGGAGCTGGCATCCTCAACGCCGGAGCTGGGTCGTCTTCCCCCAATCCACATTTCCCAGAACTCACTAACCTATCTCACTGACCATGACTCTTGATTCCTGCCCAGTCCCCCAGCGCTCGTCCCTCTCCCCTGAATCCCTTACCAAGACAGGAGAGGATCAATAGGACCAGAAAGGGCGGGAGGCGGCGTATCTCTGAGCCCAGGCAGCCTAGAAGCCGACGCACAGAGTCTCCTGAACTGCCGCGACATCCCCGCACCCAAAGGCTCCTAAGTTTATGCCACAGGGCAGCTGCGGGCAGTGCCGCCGCATAGCTTAGGGCGAAGACGTCGAGGCGACTTCCCCAGTGCAGTAGCCCGGTGCTGTCGGCGTCCCTGGCGCCTCTCCACGAGCTCAGTTCACGGAACAAGGCAAGTCCCGGCAGGGCCAAGCCCAAAGCCGCCGCCAGTGGCTCCAAAGAAGGCAGCCATCCCTGGACTCCTCCGCTTTCACTCTTGGTGCCAGCTGTGGCCCCGAGGACCCCACGGGCCCCCAGCCACAGCCCAGCCCAGCGGCTCAGGCCCACCACCCAGACCCGGAGCAGCGGCAAAGCGGCGGGCACCAGCAGGGACGATACTCTGGGCAGCGCCGGCCGGAGCAGCACCCAGTCGGCGAGAAGCAGCAGGGCTGCCCCCAGCCACGCGAGGGAAGCTCGAGAGAGGCAGAGGCACCCGCACGGAGCGGGGGACCCTGAGCTAGCCATTGCGCGCCGGGATCCCGCCGGGCCCGGGACTCTCTGCGGTCCCGGCTGGGCTGGAGTCTCGCTGTGCTGCCAGAGTCCCCTCCGGGGCGCGCGGGGGCGGGCGGGGACGCGGGACTGGCGAGGGAGAAGGGCGGGCCGGGCCGCTGCTCCCGGAAAGTCCCGGGAACCGGCTCAGCCTAGTGGCGCTGGCTAGAAGCGAGCGGTTTAGGGGAAAGAGAAAATGAAAGCGCCTTGGGCTCACTAGACCCTCCCACTAACGACGTGCCAGCCCAGACTATCTTAGAAAGGGCGTGGAAATCAGACCTGAGGTTCTGGGGAGCAGCGTCGGTGCTCTCCCTTCTCCATCACTCACACCCGCCCCTCCTCCTTTCCTGGCTGCCTCTAGCTAACCCACTCGTCCAGACTTTCCTACCCCAGCCTCAGGGCGGGGCTCTTTGGTCACCAGTCTCCAGGCAGAACTGCCCCACACAGGTTAGCGCCTAGGTGCTAGCCTCACTGAGAGGACTTTGGCGCCCCCTGGCGGGCGTGGCGAAGGGGCGGGGCTGCAGGCTGCTCGCTGCGCACAGTCCCAGGTCAGAACTCAGTGCCCCGGGCAGCGAGGAGTGCGGCGCCGTGATGCTGCGGGCGGGACCACCAACGGGGGATTTACCCCGGGCCGGAGAAGTCCACACTGGGGTAATCAGTCTGGGCTTGAGAGTTAGCAGAAGGGTGGAGGAGGTGGAGCGACTGGGGGCTCTGGAAGCAACAAGGAGTGAATGCGGAGACTAACAACAGTGAGGTGGTAGCTTGTAGACCTCAGTGCCCCAGTCACCGCAATGAATATAGGGCGTTTGTGTTCCGAAGGGGATCATCTAGGGGCCCCCGAGGGGTCTGGGCCCGCGAGGCTGGTGGAGAAGGGGGTTCTTTGGCGCTTAGCTGGAAGCTCTAAAGCGCTTTCGCTTTCACTCTAGCTAGAAAAAGGGGTGGTTAAACCTAGACAGGAGATTAGAGACGGTTCAAAGAGATAAGGAAATGGTGCCCCGGGTGAAATAGGACAGCATTTGGGAGAGGGTAATACGGGCACTGAATGAGAAGGGCCAACTCATCACGCAGACTTTTGATAAACTGGCACCTGGGTAATCATGGCCCCAGCACTGGTAATGGGGGTTCCATGTGAGACGGTGGTGCTCTTTTCCAGCTTGGCCCAGAAGGGTGCCAGCTCCCATCCCTGCCCACTGCCGTGCACGTGCCGGGGACTTTGCCGGAGGGGTGGGGGATGGCAGCCCAACGCTGGCTGGCTTCTGCTCCCAGACTACTGCCACCGCCTTCTCTTGGGGGCACTTTGTTACAGAGGATTAACCCTGAGGGTGTGGTTGCCCCTGTCCTCTGGGCCTCTATTCAGTAAATCAGTAGGTAAATCAGTGTTCAGGAAAGCACTGCTTGGACAGTAGACAGTATCCCTGAGAGCCAGAGTAATTTACAGAGTGGTGAGAAGTTAGAAAACCTCCCATTGCTGCCAATGGGCTGTAGAAAGTAGGAAATAGAAGCCCATCGGGACATGGCAGTTAGACCTGGATTCTAGTCTCAGGTCTGCTATTAATTATGTGACCTTGGACAAGTCACTTACCTTCTCTGACTCAGTTTCTTATTTGAACCGGGGATCTTTAAGGCTTTTTCCAACTCAATGAAAGTGGGAAAAGTCTACCTTTATCCTCCTTTACACTTCCTTAATTTCTTTTCTTGACCTGGAAAAGTCAGCTCAAACTCTTCAAATCATTTCTTGGTACAGATCTCTTCTCCTGACTGCTGAGTATCTGTTTACCTCTTCGTCAGAAATCCTTGAATGAAATCTTTGTTTTAAACTGCCTCATGTGCTTTCCTGCTTTCCTCCTTCCTTAAGACACTGCCCTGCTGACCACGGCCCCCCTCAATGTTTTCCTGTGTTCATTAAATTGACGGGCTCAATCCTAATTAAGAAGGGTGTGGGTGGAGGGTTCTGGGCCCAATATAGACCTGAACTTGTTTCCAAGGTCACAGTAGTTGCTCTGTCGGGTCTGTACCACATCTGCACACATACAAGCACATGTGGAGATTGTAATTCACTTGTGGGGCTGCCTCGCTGGTGCTTCGAAGGGCCCCCTGAACCAGACTTCTGCCTCTAGGAGCCTCATCCCCACCTCTCTCTTTGCAGTGGGAAGGATTCCACTCAGAAGGTTGGGGCATACGCTGCAGTCCCTCCTGTGCTGCACCACGGCCAGGCTGTGGCACTCCCTTGCATCCAGGAGGGACAATGGAGAAAATGGGAAGATGGAGAAAAGTCCTATACTGGGAGTCAGATCTGGCCTGAATAAATGTGTGGCCTTGAGCCAGTCCCCTCCCCTCTCTGGGAATGTTCCCTCACCTCTGACCTGAGGGAATCAGGGCTCTTCTTACTCTGACATCCATTCTCTGTGTCTCTGCAGACAACCATTATGGCAGTAGAGTTCCATGGAGGTGTTGTGGTGGGTTCTGATTCTCGGGTGTCTGCAGGGTAAGTACCAGTGAAGGTATATGTTTTGGAAATAAGCTAAGGGCCCCAAATATGCAGGTTTTTACCCATTCATGAAGAGCATGTTGAACTAGAACTCTGGAGAAATGGAGTTAACCTTTCAGAAAGGTCACTATAATAAGATATTGGGTGGGTGGGTACTTGGGTCTCTGAATTCACGGAGAAGAGCCATGACCTGAATGCTGTGTGGCCTGTCCCTGGAGGGAACAGGGTCTGAGAAAGGGATACAGATAGAGACCTGAGGGGCCTGCCATCCATCTATATTTAGAGATAGAAAAGATGGTTCTGACAAGCAGGTATCCTGGTTTCTCATCTGCCACATGTTGAACTAATTGTGTCTTTCTCCCTCCTTGCCAGTTTCCTCACATGAAAAATGAATATGATATTAGAGCAATATTACTTTATGTTCCATAGAACACATAACTTCCTCAGGATGGTTAACAGTAAAGAAAAATTGATAAGAGTAGCATTATTCTTAACTTAATATTTTTTATCTTATTATAAAATCTAAGCCTGAACATAAGTGTAATTTTGGTTACTTGCAGTGGTTCATTTACTTGAGATGATGTTTGGCTTCCTGCTTTAATCCAAGCATTAAATTGCATGCACTCGTGCTGTTCTCCCGTCAAATAAATTTGGGAAACACTGGACGCTCTCCTGAAACTCTAATGTTGATGATTGTTGACTCCTCTCTACAGACAGGCTGTGGTGAACCGGGTGTTTGACAAGCTGTCCCCCTTACACGATCGCATCTACTGTGCGCTCTCTGGTTCGGCTGCCGACGCCCAGGCTGTGGCCGACATGGCTGCCTACCAGCTGGAGCTCCATGGGTATGAAGCTTTGGGGTCCTCACACTACCCCTGCTGGAGCTCCCCCAACCAGTGGACCCCCATACAGTGAGCGCCCTGTTCCAGGAGCACTGCACTGGAAACTTAAAGAAAAATTCTGGTTTTAACTCCTGCTTTTATTAACTTTTAACTGGCACTTGCATGTCTCCAGGCTGATTCCCACATCCATAAAGTGGAGATAATAGTACCTACCCAACTCACCAGATAGTTATTTTGAGAATCATATGATAGATGTGAAGGCAGTTTGAAAACTGTACATCACTATCCTAATATAAATAATGAGGGAGAAAATGATGATATGGCCCATGTATCATGTCACCCTATGGGAAACCAAGGCCACTGGGGTGGAAGTAATGCTTATCTGCTTTTACCCACAAGGACAGGGCTCTGGTAGCCCAGAGAGTCATATCACTGGGCAGGGAGCAGGTGGCGGGTGGAACAGGGTAAAGGAGGGGAACGGCTGAAATCTTCTTACCAGTTGATGGTGTGGTTTGATTCCCCTGCACATGTGGGAGGGGAGCTGGAGTTTGACCCCTATTGCAGCTACAGGTTTCAGGTGTCACTTGGCAAGGCAGATGATAATGGCACACAAGGGTAGAACAGCAGGAAATTATATTGACCCTTCTTTCTAACATTTCCTTCAGGATGGAACTGGAAGAACCTCCGCTTGTTCTCGCTGCTGCAAACGTGGTGAGAAATATCAGCTACAAATACCGGGAGGATCTGTCTGCACACCTCATGGTAGCCGGCTGGGACCAACGCGAAGGTGGCCAGGTGAGTCTCTCGCAGTGCACTCTCTCCCTTGGGATTCCCCACTCCTCTCGAGAGGGAGCTGGAGGTCATTTGTCCATCTAGCATTGAGTTCCAAAGACTCTGCCTCTAAAAACATGGGACAGTCTGCACTGATGGGGGTAGGAGATGCTGATGCTTCACTGCAGATCATGGAGACCACCTGCTTGTCTCAGTGGCAAGAAGAGGATTGGTGCTTCTTTAGTCTGACTTGAGGATGCCTCCCCCAGGTATATGGAACCCTGGATGGAATGCTGACTCGACAGCCCTTTGCAATTGGTGGCTCTGGGAGCACCTATATCTACGGCTATGTGGATGCAGCATATAAACCAGGCATGTCTCCTGAGGAGTGCAGGCGCTTCACCACGGATGGTAATTAACCAAGTGAAAGGGTACCAGGGGAAGGGGTTCTAACGTGGGAAGGATGTAGAGTAGGAGGAACAGGAAGAGGAATATGTCGGGTGACCATTTAATTTAATGTCCAAACTGGGACACTTTTGAAAGTGAAAGGGGGCAGAACAAATGCTAAACTATATAGATGGGACTTCAGGACAAAGTTCTGTGTGCATCAAGTTAAGATAAGTGGTTACTATAAGAACCAGTGGTGTGCTGGAGCTGTCTTGGGCTAGCTCATGAGAGCCAACTGTCAAATATTCAAGGATTTGGGAGCTTCTGCTTAAGCTATTTATAACTTGAAATGGATCATGGTAGGAATATTGAGACCATGGACATTTGGAGATATTTCATATAAGGTAGGATTTGGATTTTTTTTTTGCTTTTTTTTTTACTTTTAAGTTGGTTTATTAACACACCACCTAATATGCCTCTCTAGGAGATGGGTTTTGAGGTCAGAAGGTGGTAGTAGGCATATGGACAGGAGGGGAAGGAAATGACTTTTGAAGTTGAGCCATTCTCTCTCTCCAACTTTAATCCTCTGCAGCTATTACTCTGGCCATGGGCCGGGATGGCTCTAGTGGGGGTGTCATATACCTGGCCACTATTACAGCTGCTGGTGTGGACCATCGAGTGATCCTGGGCAATGAGCTGCCGAAATTCTATGACGAGTGAATCTTCCTCAGATGCCTCTCCTTATTTTGTAATAAACTCTCCAATAAGTGACCTAGCCTGGTTAATGGGAAATGGGTATTCAGAGAAATGAAGCTTAGGGGAGGGGCTCCTTCCACCCCAGGTGTCAGCATACCCTTTTTATCCTTTTGCCCCCAGGTCTAAAACGTCTTTCCCAGGAAAAGGGTGGGGAGTGTACCAGAAAGAGCCTCATACATGGCAGGTCATCATGTACTGAGTGATATTGAAACAATATCAATAAAAATTCATTCTGACACCCCAAGGATGAGGGTGGAAGTTGAAGAGTAGGGATTCATCCCTTTAAGGCTAATTTTCAAGCCTTAAATTAGGCCAGCGATTTTCAAGTGGTGTGCCACAGCAACCAGTGTGTGGCAAGAGTTTTTAAAACATGCAATACCTCCCCATTTTAGTCAGGGGCATGGACCTCTTTTTCCTTAGATTGTCAAATTTAAAAAATGGCAACAGCCAACACAACAATAACCATTAGGTGTGAATGAATCAAAGTTATACTATTTTTTGTCAGATCAGGAAAAATATATTTTTCGGTGTGCCACAGAATTTTGGTAATTGGTTTATATGTGCCATGAGGTGAACAAGGCTGAAAACCGCTGGCCTAGCCTGAGAGGTAGATAAGACAGCGACACACATGAGAGGTCACTAAGGGCACCAGCAGCCTCACCCAGAAAAGACTTTCTTTCATAATGCATACATTTACACTAGATCTCAGCACATGATAAATGCTTAGACTTTCTTAAAAAACATTTCAAGCCCTGGCTGGCATAGCTCAGTAGATTGAGCACAGGCTGCGAACCAAAACATCGCAGTTTCAATTCCCAGTCAGGGCACATGCCTGGGTTGTGGACCACGTGCCCAGTGGGGGCCATGTGAGAGGCAACCACACATTGATGTTTCTCTCTTTCTCCCTCCCTTCCCCTCTCTAAAAATAAATAAATAAAATATTTTTTAAAAAGGCATTTCAAAGGGGCACTTGTGAATTTCAAATGATAATAACAACCAAACAAATCTAAATTTATTAAACCAGTCATTTGCTAAATGCTTATAAACTTTATCTCTTAGAACCCAAACAAAAAAGCCTGTATGGTGTCAGCTGATGGTTGTTGGAGCCAATTCAACGCCAATAGGAACTCTCAGATGGGGTGCAGTGAAGGATATTTTATTCAGTGCAAACAGCTCACTGACGATACAGCACAGCTGTGGAACTGCTCAGTTGTGATACAGCATGGCTGGAAAGCCACCTTGGGGCTAGGCCCCTCTCCAGCTAGTCAGCTCAACTCTGTCCTGGTCCAGTCAACCCTGTCCTGGTCTTCTCTGGGGAAACAGACTTCAGTCTTGGGTGGGAAGGGGAGCTGCTTTATATTGACACCAAGTCCCACCTGGCCCCTAGTCCCTGACTAGTCCATCCTCATGCAAATAAGAACTCCAAATCCTTAAAATTTGATTGGTCTAAAAGACACTGTACTGATTGGTCAGAATAGAACCACTCTGATTGGTCAGAGCTGTGCAGCTCCAATTGGACAGGAAAAACTTCGGTTCTTTTGGTTAAAACAGGATTCCAGGGACTCCTTTATAAGGGCTGGCTCAGATGGCAGGAAGACAGTGTAGGCCCCTCCCTGAAGTGCATTTTGTGCAGAGGTCCCTCTGCAGAAAGCCTACTAGGCATTGCTTTTTTTTTTTTTTTTTTTAATTTGAGCCCAGTTAGCCACCAGGAGCCCTTCTTAGTAGGTGTCTTTTTTCTCAGGGTTCACAATAGGTCCTACTACTACTTCTGTTTAAGGACAGATTGGGCTTAGAAAGAGCAAGTCACTTGACCAAAGTCATAGCAAGTTCAAAAGCTGCAATCTGCCTTTCCTCCCAGTACATAAAGCTTCCCATTCCCTCAAGCTTCATATATCATCTCCTCCTTGAAATCAGCAATTAGCCAAGCACATTAGTTACCACTTAGGAAACTGAAGTTGTTACCAGATGCTTGAGTTAACTGTATTAAAGAAGCCGAGTTCTGGTCCTATCTTTGCTGTGCACTTCCTGAGTGACAGCACAAATTATTTCCCGCTGGGGCCTTCATTGCCTCTTCTGTCAAATGAAATTGTTGAGTGACTTCTACTGCGGTTTACTGCTTTGACATTCAATGCCAGCTTGCTAGTAAGTGAGCAGTGAAGAGATACCCGAGGACTTAGAAATCTTAGTAGGCTCCCTCAGAAGCTCTGTCTGCTTGTCTTTCTGGACCTCAGGCTAAACATACAAATTCAAATTACCCTAAAAACAGTCTTATGCCCTTGACGGGAGGATCTAAAATTACTAAATCCTTGAGTTCTTTCTAGCCATGATATTTAATTTATTTTAAAGTTTAAAATAATAGTTTAGAAGCCCACGTCACCTAGTGATCACAACTAGGAGCTGGAGAGCAGACAAAATCAAGTACTAAAGGACTCTGAAAAAGAAACCAAAGCAGATTGTGAAGAGTCAACACTTGAAAAGCCAACTTCCTGGGGTGGTTTTCAATTGTTTTTCCTCTTTCTTCTCATGGTCTCCAGTGAGAGCTGCAGTGCAGAACCAGGAGACATCCCTTGTTCTGGCCAAAGGAAATGAGAAAAGGGATCCTGTGGGTGGGAGAGGGTAGGGGAACCTCCAAAACAGGAGTGGGAAGAAGGGGAGTCCCTCGCTCATGAGACATGAACCTCATGAGCACCGGTGACCACTGAGCTGCACAAGCCCGTGACATGCCCGAAACACCACAGCAAAGACTTAGACCTTTTAAAAGCAGAAGGCTGTCTTTTTCTTTATTGGCTAATAAATTATGTTCTTATGCCCCTTATTCCAAAAAGGGCTTATAGCAATTTACAGAGACAGACACAATTTAAAAAGAAGCAAGAGCCGTGGCTGGTGTGGCTCAGTGGATTGAGCTCCAGCCTGCGAACCAGGGGGGTGTCAGTTTGATTCCCAGTCAGGGCACATGCCTGGGTTGCAGGGCTGGGTCCCCGGTCTGGGGGAGTGCTGTGTGGGTGCAAGAGGCAGCGCATCGATGTTTTTCTCCTTCTCTTTCTGCCTCCCTTCCACGCTCTCTAAAAAGAAATGAATAAAATCTTTTAAAAAAAAAGAAGAGAAAAAGAAATTGGAACAAAGAAAAACAAAGTTTAGAAATAAGTGAAGCCAAACAGACTAATGAGTAATCGAGTAAAAGTGATGTTGCACAAAATGCAAAGAAACCAAGAAGGGGGAGGCTTAATATTAGTATTAAACATGCTATTAAGGAGGTAATTTTATTCGTCCTGACTGGGTAGCTCAGTTGATTAGAACCTTGTCCTTGTAGGCCAAGGCTGCAGGTACCATCCCCAGTCAGGGCAAGTACAAGAATCAACCAATGAGTGCATGGATAATTATTACTTAAGAAAATGAAAGGAAAGGAAAGGAAAGGAAAGGAAAGGAAAGGAAAGGAAAGGAAAGGAAAGGAAAGGAAAGGAAAGGAAAGGAAAGGAAAGGAAAGGAAAGGAAAGGAAAGGAAAGGAAAGGAAAGGAAAGGAAAAGAAGCCAAGGGGTAAAACTAATATACATCATACATATTTTTTTTTGAAAAGTGTGTGTTGGAACTGTCTTATACTGGGTAATAAGAGCAGATTGTAAAGTACTCATGAATTTTGAAAGGAAGCTGTTAAGCAGTGGCAGGTGGACCTTGACCGTGGTGAAAAAATTATGCCACAGAAACCAGCAATGCTACCAGTCAGAGCTTCCCCGCCCAGAGAGCCAGATTACCAGGACACACACTTATCAGCCAGCTATAGATGGGTAGGAACCAACTGGCTCTGAGCCACAGGGTAGTGAAAGCAAAGAAAGAAATGAAATTAGGTACAAGATTCAAAAGATTCATTAAGAAATGAAAAGCCATAAAAACATAAAATTTTTCAAGTCACAGATTTACTGAAATAGAATATACACTAGGCCACATAGAAAACTCCAATAAATTCCAAAGTGTTTGTATCCTTGAAAATACCCACATTCTGTGGGTATATTTATATACAGTCTGTGGTCAGACTGTATATAAAATCAGAACTTAAGAACAAAAGGATACCTGATGTTCTCATGGTATGCAAACTAAGAAAAGTGGATAAATTACATGGATTTTAAAAGCAATCATAAAGGAAGTTAACTCATTTAGAGCAAGGTAGTAAAAATGTGACATATCAAACTTTGATACATAACAGCTAAACATGGTTAAAATAGTACTTAGAACTTATAGCTTCAAATATACATTTATTAGAATAAGCAAACTTAAAAGTAAATAACCTAAAAATTCTTCTAAAAATCTAGAATAAGGGCAATTGAGCAAACCTAAAGAAATAAGAGGGAAATTATAAGGATAGAATAGAAAGCAATTCAATAGAGAACAAAACTATGTAGTAAAGACTCACAAAACCCAAAGATGCTTCTTAAAAATTATTTGTGAGATATTCAGACTTAGAACCAGACGGACTATGAATAAAGGAGTGAAAAGAATGAACAAACAAAGTACAGAATGAAAAGGAGGGGATAACCATCAGATATAATAAAGATATGAAAAATAAATGGTTTTATGAACAAGTATATACTAATAAATTTAAAAACCTCTGTGAGATAGCTGATGTAGCTCAGTGGATTGAGCGTGGGCTGGGAACCAAAGTGTCCCAGGTTCGATTCCCAGCCAGGGTACATTCCTGGGTTGCAGGCCATAACCCCCAGCAACCTCACATTGATGTTTCTCTCTCTCTCTCCCTCTCTCTCTCTCCCTCTCTCTCTCTCTCTCTCTCTCCCTTCCCTCCCTAAAAAAAAATAAAATAAATAAATAAAATCTTAAAAAAAAACAACCTCTGTGAGATAGATAAATTCCTAGAAAACTTTAAGCTACCAAAATTGTCAAAAATACAAAATTTGCTATGTCAGTAAACATTGAAGAAATAGAAAAAGTTGTCAAATACCTCTGATAAAAATAATTTGTTAAAAAAAACCTGTCCGGATGGTTTCAAAGGTGAAAAACATCAAAC